ACTGACATCAAAGCACTCCTCCTCGTAAGTCTCCCTAGCTTTTTCCCTTTATTGCAATGGACCCCCGACGGAGTTGGTCCAGTTGGAGTTTGGAGTGTATATTCCACATGTACGTACTTTCTGTGGGACACATGGTGACCACAGAACCTCTTCACGGCGGGGACGGACACGACGTCCAGCACGGTGGAGTGGGCGCTGGCCGAGCTGATCCGGCACCCGGACGTGCTCAAGAAGGCCCAGCAGGAGCTGGACGCCGTCGTCGGCCGCGACCGCCTGGTCTCCGAGACCGACCTCCCGCGCCTCACGTACCTGACGGCGGTGATCAAGGAGACGTTCCGGCTGCACCCGTCCACGCCGCTGTCGCTGCCCCGCGTGGCCGCCGAGGAGTGCGAGGTGGACGGGTTCCGCATCCCCGCGGGCACCACGCTGCTGGTGAACGTGTGGGCGATCGCCCGTGACCCGGAGGCGTGGCCCGAGCCGCTCCAGTTCCGGCCCGGCCGCTTCCTCCCGGGCGGCTCGCACGCGGGCGTCGACGTCAAGGGGAGCGACTTCGAGCTCATCCCCTTCGGCGCCGGCCGGAGGATCTGCGCGGGCCTCAGCTGGGGCCTGCGCATGGTCACGCTCATGACGGCCACGCTCGTGCACGCCCTGGACTGGGACCTCGCCGACGGCATGACCGCGGGCAAGCTGGACATGGAGGAGGCGTACGGGCTCACCCTGCAGCGCGCCGTGCCGTTGATGGTCCGTCCAGCACCCAGGCTGCTGCCGTCTGCCTACGCAGCGGAGTAGAAAAACAAAAAAGCGGACTGGATATCCCCTATCCATATATGTCCGTCCGTATGCACCGTCAAATCATTTATATCTACTCTACGTGAATTATGTACTCTTCTAGTAGTAGTCGATGTGCCTACGCAGCGGAGTAGGAAAGATAAAACGGATTCTCGCCGGCTATGTCCATCCGTAACTCCGTATGCAGGCATGGTCAAATCCTTTATGTGAATTCAGTACTCTTCTGGATGTGTTTATTTATGGAGGTAATAAAGCTTTGCGTACCATCTGATCCGTTAGGGCATCCCTAGATTACATTGGACCCAAGATCCAATTTTGTCATTTGGACCTCTACGTTTAATGGAGTATTCTGTTTGTGGGGTGAACGGCGCGATACGGCATCTTTTATTATGAAAAGAAAAATGTTCATTATTTTTTTATAATTACATTATTAGCAGACTTCATATATACGTACTATATATGCATACACGTTACAAGCACATTCTACCTACGTCCGAATGAAAAAGTCACATGGATCTTGATATCGACGTCTTTACATTGACCAGGTAGCCATATGCCAATGCGAACGCCCACCTATACGGACACCTTATTATACCAGTCACTACCGAAACCGGCACTTCGCCGAGTGCCGGAGGCTTTGTCAAGTGTATTTTATCGGACACTCGGTGTCGAGTGCCAAATAAAATACACTCGAAAAAAAAACACTCGATAAAATGCGTCTTTGTCAGGTGCTTTTTTCTGGCACTCGGCAAATATGTATTTTGCCGAGTGCTATTTCTCGGCACACGGCAAAATGCGTCTTTGCTGAGTGCCTTTTTTCTGGCACTCGGCAAAGATGTATTTTGCCGAGTGTCTTTGTTTTGGCACTCGGCAAAGAGGCATTTTGCCGTGTGCATTTTTTTTTTGCCCTCGACAAATCAGTTTTTCAAAGCAATTTTTTTTAGGTCCTAAATGAATTCAAATGAAAAACTTTTCAACTACAAAGTTGTATAACTTCTCAAGATCTACAAAGTTTATTTTGGTCATTTCTTTATTTGACAAAGCGACAATAACGTTGTTCATAAAATCTACATCTCTCATATCTCTCATATTAATTTCATGAAGGTAGAAGAGAGATATATTAGATTTGTGAACAATGTTACTACCACTATGTCGAATGAACAAATGACCAAAATAATATTTGTAGATCTTGAGAAGTTATGAAATTTTGTAGTTGGCAACATTTTGATTTGAAATCATCTTGTCATGCAAAAACGACGTTTGAATTTTAAAATTTTAAAATTTGAATTTTTCAAAAGACCTCGGATGGAAAAACTTTCTCAATGAAAATTGTAGATCTCCAAAAGTTATAAAACTATGTAGTTGACAACTTTTTGATTTTAAATCATCTTATCATGCAAAACTACGTTTGAATCTCTCAAATTTGAAATTCGAATTTTTCAAACGAACTCGGATGGAAAAACTTGTTAAATGAAAATTGTAGATCTCGAAAAGTTACAAAACTTTCTAGTTGACCACTTTTCAATTTGAATTCGTTTAGGGCCTCAAACAAGCAATTTACTCTCGGTTTAGTATAATATATGAGGATAGATAATGGAATCCAAACACAAGTGACAGTGTAGTGCAGTGGTAGAGCAACAGACACGCGAGAGAGAGGTCGTGAGTTCGAATCCCTCCAGCCGCGTTAGCCGTGAATTTAGCGCAAAAAATGCACCGACTTCGATGAAGACGGGCGGGCGCTGGCTGGTGGCGGCCTCCCCAGAAAAAAAAATTTGCTATTATTTTTGGGTTTTTTCGCATTTTCATTTTGCCGAGTGTAAATCTTTGCCGAGTGCTTTTCCGGCACTCGGCAAAGGCTTTGCCGAGTGCCCGACAAAAAGCACTCGGCAAATAGCTGTTTGCCATGAAGGGATATGCCGACAGCTCTTTGCCGAGTGCAGCACTCGGCAAAGGCTTTGTCAAGTGCAAAGCCGTCTTTGCCGAGTGCAATTCTACTCGGCAAAGCACGTGTCTGCTGTAGTGAGTACAACACAAGTGAATTTATCTATATCTATATCTATATCTATATCTATATCTATATCTATACCTAATAATAAAGATGCAAAATTTTAGCCTATTTTTGGTGCGTCCAATTTTTTGGTCCGTCTTCCCCTAACTAACTTCGTGTTGGTGTTTTGTCACCCGACGAGTGAATTTATACGCGTGTTGCGCTGCTCTAGCAAGACGATGTAGCATCTAAAGATACAAGGAATTATACTGGTTCAGGCCAGAGCCCTCCGTCCAGTCTCAAAGATAGTTTGAGTGCGTGTTTCTCGGTTGAATGCTCTGAAGTTCTTACAATGGATATGCAAGAACGAAGAAAGAGGTAGGAGAGTGGAGAGGGACTGCTCGAATGAAGTCTCGAGAGCACGTCCCTTTGAAAGGTTGCCCAAGGCTGTCCTTATATAGAGTCCGGGGCTAGGTTACATACAGAGAGATAGGTCCTCTAGACTTACTGGTCATGAGCCTGAGGGAGGAAAACTAGCTATCTTGGCTTGCAAGGAAGGTCGTCTTGTCTTGGCGTCAGCACGAGTCTGGGCGTGGTTGTCGTCATGGTCATGCCCACATCGCAGCATGGTGTGGTGTGATGCTACAGTGTCCGTCATGACGGCACTGTTGGCACGGTGTTGGTTCGCCAGCTATCTTGTGCGATGTGAGCTCATTGTGGCCTACATCATCGCCTTCCGTCCTTCTGGTGGCGTCAGTACGGGAGTAGGTAGCGCTCCCACGTCGTTGGTTGTCCTGCTGGTCCTGAAGCCAGTGACTACGATCCCAAGCCTCGGGGTCGTGGCCCTAGTTGGCTTGATAGGCCTTGAAAGTCAATGCCGTAGTCGTGAGCCCATCCCGTAGTGGGTGGGGCCATACACCCGTCTCGTCGGGCCGTATTTGGACGGTGGGTCACCGTATCGGTCGTCACCACCTAACGGTGCTGCCTTGTCTGTGCAGCGTAGCGCAGGGATGGCGTCTGTCTGGTCTGAGGGGATAGCTGTCCCCTTAGTCGTCGTCCTAGTGGAGTGAGTGGAGCGTGCCTAGCCTTTGTCGAAGCAGGCGTACTTGATGGAGCTCGACTTCTCCTTGTTCCTTCCAGGGTCAGGACGGAGGAGAGGTCGTGCGGTGCTGCATTGCGCGTAGTGAAAGGAGAAGGGAGAGGTCATGGTCAACCCCTTGCCTTGGCGCTTGGCCCAAGTCTACGTGGCTTAGATGGGCCACGATTGATGTGCTTGTGTTTGCTTGGCTGTCATGGGCCTCCCGAGTGGCTAACTAATCGGTATCTTGAGATACCCGGGGTATCATAACCCCGACAGTAGCCTCCGAGTGTCTTTGCGATTGCGAAGTGATCGTGGAGGCGATGATTTCTGCGTGTGTCTAGCACGTGCTTGAGGTCATGGCTGGTCTGAGCTCGGAGGTCGACCCCTTGCGGGCTAGAGCATTCAATGCGGTAGGTGGCTGTTACGTCCCGTCTTGTCAAGCCGCCTTGATGGTCCGGTACACGACTGCTCTGCTGTGCCTAGCCATGTCAGGGTGCTACGTGTCGGGGTACGTGATCCAGACAGAGCCAAGTGGTCTTATCGACGCTGTACCGGCTTCGTCTTTTAGAGGATCTTGATTTACCCGACCTCACGTGGGCTCCTCACATCGACTTTGACCTCCCGTATGTTGGCCGCATCTCAACATCAAGCCGAAAACAAAACAAACAAGCTAGTACTCCTAGCTGGGAAGCAGCACAGCATGAACATACCTCGACACCCATGCGAGGGTGTAGTGGGGGCGAGGAGTGGCTCAATGACGGCGTGTTCGTCACGCGCGGCGACACGGCTTGGCTCAGCGAGCTCCTCGTCTCCTCCCTTGCAGCCACGGGCCGACACGGCCATGGTGGGCTGCTGTGCCTGTGAGCACGACCGAGGAGACATAGGGTCGTGCCTGGACTGAGAGTTGGGCACGGCGGCCCGAGACAGCACGACACGGTAGGATGCCATGCCACATAGTGCCGTGCCGTGCTCGTGTCGTGCCGTGCGGCCCGGTTGGCCATGTATAGCACCAAGCTAGGCATGTTTTGACGACAAATCTCAACATTTATGCTAAAAATGTCGTATAAATAGTAGGGGAAATATGGTAAAAAAAAAAGCTTTTTAGAGCGCCCATTTTTATTCACTAAACACCAAAACGATACTTTAGTCTGAAATAAAAATGCCATTATAGGAGAAGCTAATGTACCAGAGCTCGCACACAAAGCACGCGCCCGGCGCCTCCTGTTGGCCGCATCTCAACATCAAGCCGAAAACGAAACAAACAAGCTAGTACTCCTAGCTGGGAAGCAGCACAGCATGAACATACCTCGACACCCACGCGGACCCTGCTCTCGCCAGTCGCCGCCGCCGCCGCCGCCCCCGTCCACGGCCTCCGGCGGGCGCAGCCGCCAGACCCCAGCCGCGAGCCTCCGCACCGACACCTCCCTCGCCTTGGTCTCCCGCGCGGCGTCCCGCGCTTCGTCAGCGGCGCCAGTCCCCTTCCTCCCCTCCCCGCGCCCGCCGCCCACGTCCCATTTCAGCAGCAGCGTCGCGGGCCGGAGAGACGGCGCCGCAGCCAGGGCAACGCACGAGGCGGCGGCGGAGCGGTTCCTGGAGCTCATCTCCGGCTGTGGCTCGGGACGGCCCGCGTCGGCGGCAGCATCGGGTGGGGAGCAGAGCACAGCAGGCGGATGCGCAGAGCCGCCGAGTGCGGGCGACGCACGGCGCACGCGGAGCGGTGTGGGAACGCAGGCAGGGCAGCGCGGAGGGCACAGGGGAGAGGCAGAGGCTAGACCGCTAGAGTAGAGACGTTACGGGTGGCGATTTGCGGATTTCATCCCGGGCTTCTATCCGGTACAGGCGGTAGTACTGTGTGATACAGTATGATCAATGTGGTCGTGCATTTTGGTCTCGTGATTTTGCAGACGCACAAGTTCTGCACTGCACCGCTGCTGCAGTTCTGCAACTGCACGATGTAAAAGAAAGTCCTGGTTTACTGGAGATTTGCCATCATTCGGTGGGAGGGTTTACGGTTTATATTTGAAAAAAAAAATAAAGCATAAATAAGTATGAAAATTTGAAAATAAGTACCACCACCAACCATGATGGTAATGCGTTCTTTCTTTCCATTGATCGAATGATCGGCGTGGTATTACTTCTCCTCTCTGTCGGTGGAAATTTCATGATTCCACAGATCGGGGTACGTCAGACAATTAACCACGTCAGTATACTGTCGAGCGACCATTCACCCAGGTCGGTGGGTCCCTCCATCTCATGGCGCTTCCAGTAACAACAAACCCCGACACGAGTCACAGTCCCGTCCGAAATGGAACAGCAGCCGCTCTGCCTGCTGCCCCACGTTCCGTTGAATCCGTCCAGCCCGCCATGAGCCCATGACGCTGCTCTCCTGTCCAGATCCGAACGCGCACCACGCCGGGGCGGCGGGGCGTCTCCAGCACCACTGCACCAGCACGTGGCCGTCCGCCGCACGGGCGCCGCGCTGCCCGGTGTTTGGGCGCGGGAAGGCATCCCAGGGCGGAGCACGAGGCGGAAGCGCGACGTACGCCACGTCGGACTCAGCGGGCCGACGGGACCCACATGACATACGCTACGTGAAAAACGGTTTGTAGCAACGGAATAATTTTTTTTTAAGGACGGCTGGTGATGGAACCACCCCTACACTGATGTGCTTGGGATCCACGAGACCAGCCGCCCCTCCAAATGAAACAGCAGGGGCGGCTGGTGATACGAGCCGCCCTATAATGGGTAGGATTTGTAGGGACGGCTTACTCACCAGCCACCCCGGTGTTTCTATTTGTAGGGGCGGCTGGTGATTGAGCCGCATCTACAAATGCACCAAGTACAGTCAAAATATCAACTACCCTCCTCTCTCTCTCTCCGTCTCGACTCCCTCTCTCTCTCTCTCCCTCGCTCTCCCTCGCTCGTTGTGCCGATGGCCGCGGCTCCTCGCCCGCCCGCGCGGCGTGGCAGCCCCCCCCTCTCCTCCGAGCCCCTACGTCTCTGCCCCACGCCGCCCCTCCCTCTCCCCCACGCGGTGATGGGACTCCCTCTCCAGCGGAGGCGCACGACGTCGCACCCCCCTCTTCTCCGCCCGGTGGCACTCGGCGGCGCACCCTAGGGTGGCAGGGGTTCTGGGGCGCGGGCTCCCGGCGGTCGTGCGGGGCTCGGTGCCCTCCTCCAGCGCCAGCAGTCGCGCGGGGGCCCGTCCCCCTCCTCCTGCGCCGGCGGCGCGCGGCCCTCTTCACCTTCTCTCCTCCGGCGCGCTACTGGAGGCCGCATGAAGCACATGGTGGCGGCCACCACCAGATCCGGCGAGGATGAGCTCGATCCGGCGAGGACCAGCCCAGATCCGAGTGGCCACCACCAGATCCGCGAGGAGAAGCCTGATCCGGCGAGAACGAGCCTGGATCTGGCAAGCGGGTGCGGCGGCGAGGATGAGCTCGATGCGGGTCGCGGGGATTTTGGCCGGCCGGATCCGCCATCGATTTTGGTCGCACGCCAGTCAATCGGCGGATGTGGTTTTGAATCTTATGGCCGGATCTACACCGCCTTGCCGCTGCTTTGTTTGTTTTCCCCGCTGGCCGCCTAGATCCTCCTCGGCTGACATCTCCTTTCTCCTTTTAAGAATTTTAGAAATGGATATCCATATTCTAGTCAGGATGGCAATGCTAAGAAAATCATTGAATATTTTTAGAAAACATCTTTTATCGAGTCATCATCAGATCTTATATGTTAATCATTTGCTTTATCTTCTATTTTTGGTGGCAATATTCTTTGCTCTGACCTCTGAGTACTCTTTCCCCAACAAGCCAGACCTAAATGCATGAATACATGTGAATGATGTGAGCTTTACTTTTGTTTGCTGGATGGCATAGAATGAATAGCCTCCTCCATTATGTGTTGCTGCTGTAGCTTAAATGATTTCTGCAGTCATCTTTACTCCTTATGTTATTTATAGGAAGAAACATGAGATAATTGTACTTTGGATGACAATGTTGATATATGAGTCCTGAGCAACAAAATGGTTGAACAAATTGCTTCATTTTGTTATAAAAGTTAAGTAGGAATATGCATAGCCTTTTGTGATTCTTGCTTATGTCCAGGTCGTATACTGTATGGTATACCGCAAAAAGCTTTCAGCTTTCAAGAGCTAATAGAGAAATGCTACAGCAAGCTGAATGCGATATTAAGGTCAATTCCATTTCCTTTTTTTTCATTCTCCTTGAACCATTAGGTTTGTTTAGGATCATCGTGGAATAATCAACACGTGCTCCTTTTTAGTTACTATTGTACTACCTGCGTGTATTGATTTCCTACCTTGAGTTTCATTTGCAGCCACTATGTTCAACCTATACGTATCCGTTATTTACTTAGACTTTGAATCGATTTTTTTCTTATGCAGGTTTGGTGTATCCTTCTCAGTAACAAAGTACCTTTTAGGATGCACTGGCCTTTACACTCTGACATGCAAGTTAATGGTATATGCAGTGGCTTATTATGTATAATGAGTCATATTTTCTGATAGGATGTTGGTACATGTTTATTGAGTTAAAAAACTTAGTTAAGTGCCACCTATTTGATTTTTCACAATGTGTACAAGGAAGAATGGAAGATACTCTTTATTTTTTATTCTTCTTTATGAGTTGATATGTTGTGTAAATTGTTGAATACTTGGACACTTGTATAACACCTGGTTGGTTTTATTATGTTGCCACTACTTGGACGCTTGAGCTTGAACCTAAGATTCTGGCAGCTGTGTTGCTTTGTTGGATGCCAAGTGCTATTTTCTGTATAACAAAAGGAAAACGCAGAACCAAACACCCCAGTCAGAATCAAATTAAGTCCAAATAACAGCTGATTCATCTTTTGTTGCATAGTCAGTGATGCTTTTCTCCTTTTCTTGGGGGGCTTATTATGGGTTGATTTGTATATGCACCTCAGTCTATGCTTTATGACTTGTGCTTGTACTTGTATTTATACCTGCACTTTAGCAAAAATAGTATTTTACATCCTTCTAGCTGTAGTTATGATATAGGCTCTAGCAGCTATTCTGACAGTAAGTTCAATTATACTATATCTGAACTATTCATGTTGGTAATTCTTACTTTGTCAGGTATTTATGTTAGGGTGGTTAACAGGCAACCGACCCAAAAGTTAGGGGCCAATGGTAGAGACGATGGTCCACTAGTAAGTATTTTTTGATACGAAATTTGCTATTGTGTTGATTTTTTTGCTAAGGCAGTGGACATTTTTTCGTACTGATGTGGAACGGGTGGATGCAGAGGATCCATTGTTCCTTTTGTACACAAGTGGCAGCACAGGGAAGCCAAAGGTACTTCTAAGTTCTAACTGAGCTGTATTCAGCAGCTATTGCATTAGCTGGATATTTATCTCTCTTGTTGTATGCAGGGTGTGTCCATTAGCAGGGCAAGATATCATTAATCTTGTGCTAGTACAACAAGTAGCTGAAACATTAGTTGGAGCAGGTCCATCCATTCAGTGGTTGATGTATTGCATTGTGCCCATTCGAGTTACAGCCTTGCAGGTAAAAAAAACTGCAGTAGTATCTTAAACTCATGCTGGTAAAATAAAACATGAAAGTGATGCAAGCTGTTCTTGACAGTAGCTCAGTTTCTTTATAGAAAATTTTCCGTGTTAGCTTTATTTGGTGAGTTTATAGTGCAGTTTTTATGATTCCTTACTTAAAACGACATTTTTTCCATTACTGTAGTTGTTTGATTGATTGATTGTTCTAGATCTGGTTTTGCTTGCCGCTTCATGTTAGTTGGAATTAAGGGTTTCAGAGACTGCATTTTCATATAGCGACAATTTCTGTGAAGTAAACTTGTCAAGCACTGGAATATGATCTAACAATTATTTTAGTTTGCTCCTTGACTCCATTCCCTGGAGTGAGGGATTTGAGCAGGGGCCATGCCACCCCACAAGACAGTAGAATTTGCACTGTAAAATCCAAACGAAATATTATAATTATACTAGACACCGGCCAATTAATGAAACATGTGCCTAGACATGTTATGGGGAAAAAACTTTGTGTAATTTAGCACTCCATCAGATTCTATTGTGTGGTAGCATTGTCGTAAGTATTGAGATTATATGACACTTTTTCGACATTTGCCATATGCAATCTGATGTGCCATATAACTTGCACAGACACAGGCCAATTTCAGGCAGGCACTTGCATCTGGAAAACGTCCGAAGTCACATGTTCTGGTGCCATTCACATGATGCCGAGTATTCTTGTGCAAAAAGATCAATGAGAGAACCACAGCAAAAACTGGCAGTATTAACTCAAGGTTCTGAAAATGCTTCAGTTTCTAAGATGGGCACCCCCTTATCTGCTTTGGAAAATTCTTTAACAAGCATCTGCCCTCCAAATTCTTGTTCACCACTCTACGGTAAGGGTGACCTTCATGTGCTTTTTCACTATAATAATGAGTGGTTGTTCAGTGATGATGACATGGTTTATCTATGCTTCCCTAGGACACTCAACAAACCCAAAAATTGTTGCGTCTGACAATGTGAGTCTGCTGCATTATGTCTCTTTTGGAAAGTTAACATTTGCATCCAAGGTGTTTACAAT